ATTGGTCATCCAAAGTTTTCTCTAAAATATAAATTACAGGGATGCAACACAAATATATCTGAAACTACAGTTTTCACGCAACGTCTCTATATAGTTTAAAAGTCAACACACACACACAAAGTTTGTATTTATTTCTGTTCTTGTTCGTCTTATTCTTCCTTACTTTAAATTTAAAGTGCCTGTGTAGTAGTTATACAACTGTTTCAGTTGGAAAACAAAGACAGAAAAAAAAACCATTATGAAAAATAATGTTTTTGTTCATGGTAATATGTGGGAAATGTAAATAGAAAAATAACAACTCTAAAATTCATTTCTCAGTTGAAGTAAAATTCATGGAAGATGCACCGTGAGTGATCTTTGATCGATTATTATGGCCTTGCAGGTTAGAAGCCACAGAATGATGCAGTAAAGTAAAATGATATGTTTAAATGAATTTTCTTTCATATTACTTTTCTGACTACAATTGTATATAGTATTTAGAGTGGTACTTTTTCAAAGTTTATGCTTTTAGAGTTTATTTACCGATCGTCTCTCGATTGGTTATGTCTGAGTTTAAACGGGGAACTCTGCTTTTCCATTACAACACTGGAAGTGACAGAAGTTACACCGTTTTCACTAATATATGGAAGAAAACATCGTAATATTTAAGAAAATCAGTGTAATCTACATGATTTTACCCATTTTGTCACATAACTGGCTTCTTTTTAAAAAAAACTTGGCGCAAGTGAAACAGGAAGTGACATCATAGGGGAACTGGTTTTTGTTTATACACATTCAAACTCTTCTCAAATCTCTGATAGTGACTCAAAATAATAATAAAAAAACATCAGTCTTTTCTAGTGTCTGTGTTTGTCACTGTAGCAATTTCTCTGTCAATTCTATTCAATTTATATATCACCAAATCACAACAGAAGTCGTCTCAGGGCACTACGTTCATATATAAAGTCAGTTATTTATCTGAAGAGTCAACAGATTGTTTTGAGCTTTCACTTCATCGCAGCCTCCCATCCACATGCAGGCGCCGTCTTTTGTCATCACTTCCAAATATGTCAACAACTGTTCATCTTTGTGAACCGTTACCAGAACGTTCATAACCTAAACTCGTCTCGTCACTCCCAAAATGATTTTCTACAGGTTTAGGACCAAGCTTTGCTCCTTCTTGTGCTTAAAAGGAAAGTAATTCTACTAGAAAAGTTAATAAAAAGTAATAAAATTGGAACAGAACCAGTGATTACTCAGATTATTGGCAGTGGGGACACGTCTATTACTCAGGAACACGTTGGCATGTTGCTGGGTGTGGACCTCCTGGTCTTCTGATTGTTGAACCAGATCACGAAGCTCCAACAGGTGTGGTAGCCGCTGTAGGCGGCCATTATACCTGCTCTAGAGTCAGGAGGCCTAACCTACAAGAGACCTCCACTCAGTCCTTTACAAGAGCAGCTGATGATGAAAGCGAACCGTTTGGGACCTTAAGGGGTTCTCCGACCACAGAAGTCCTAAAACTTCACAGTAGAAACAATTTACTGATCCACAATCCCACCTGTTTCTGGAATCAAGCGGGGCCCTTTAATAAATACAACTTATGAGTCCCTGTCTGAGCGCCAGGAGCTGCTCACGCATGTCCACAGTCCGTCTCCGAGAGGTTCCTGGCAGCTCCTCTCCAGCTGCTCACGGAGGCGAACTTGGTAGGAAGTTGTGAAGAATTCTGTAAACGGCTTTAACACCCGAATGCTCACAGAACCATTAAATCATTTTCGTTTTTTCTGTTTCAGCCACTGTGTTCATGTGAAGCATTTCTTCCACGTGTCTCTGGAAAAAAACATCAATTTCTGATGTAATCACGCACGTTTGTCTTCTTGGCTCAGGCCAGAATAAACAACCATGTTTGAGTTAATAATGTCCCAGTACCTCTCACACATGTTCATTAAAAGTAGCATTCCTTGAAGTTTTTTTTTTTTTAGTTTTTATTCAACTAAACGAGTTTTTGAAATCTTTCAGTCAGTTTTTAAACTATTACACAGCACCGAAACAGCGTTGGTTAGGGTTTGACATTCTGTTAGCAAAAGATTCTGGTCAGTTTGCGATCCTTGTACTCCTGGACCTTACTGCTGCTTTTGATACTGTTGACCACAGTATCTGATATTGTGGTTAGAACACTGGGTTGGGATTACAGGTGCAGATTTAGAGGGGTTCTGTTCTTACCTAAGTGACAGGAGTTTCTGTGTTAAGGTTGAAAATAGTGTTTCTGCGTCAGTGCCTCTTTCCTGTGGGGTTCCACAGGGCTCGATTCTTGGACTGCTTTTGTTTTCACTCTATCTGCTCTCTTTGGGCTCTATGCTGAGGAAACATGATCTTTCTTTTTGCTGTTATGCTGATGATTGTCATATTTATCTGCCCTTAACTTCACTTCCTGTTTTTTAATCTCTCTTTTTAAAACTCCTAAAACCACACCTGTTTTCACTGATGTTTAACACAGTGTGCTTTAGCATTTCATTGTTTCTCATTGCTTTTGTGTTTTTATGTTTTATTTCTGATGCTTTTAATAAATAAAAAAACTTCCTTTAATTACTGCCATTGATTTTTACTGTTAAGCACTTTGGTAACTGCTGCTTTTTTAAATGTGCGTTATAAATTAATATGACTTGACTTGAATGCATATCACCCACCGCCTTTCATGCTGGACCTTTAGACTGAATTTGTGCCGAGAGATGATGGAGATTTAGCAGATTGGGTCAAAAGTAAAAAATAATGATACCCAAAACCTCTTGATGAGATATTTTGTGAGCAGACACACACAGGCATGGGCAGAGTCATGATCATCCACATGTTGCCTTCAGGCGCTGGACGATAATGAAAACCGGGTTCATTAAAAACAAACCATAAATAGATGCAGACACCATCATCTCCTCCTGCTCAGGATTATTGGGACCCGAGCAGTTCCCACACCCTTAAAGTCCGGGGTCAGTCACCGCAGGATGACGTGGTCCAGAAAACTCCACGTTCCCACGCTGCTCTCCATGTGATCCAGAACCTCTGGGACCACACACACACACACGCACGCACAAGACGCAGAGCGATTCTGACAAGCAGAATGTTCAGAAACATGATGTAAACTGATCAGAGGTCAGTTTTTTTCTAAGACGTCTCGATCTGAGCGGCTCGTCTGCCTGTGTTTACAGAACCGGGCCTCCCTGGCAGCACCGACACCACGACAACACAACTATTGTAGCTGCACAGAGGTGGTTTCAGCCTGATTCTCCACATCATCTCCTAAAACAAAGACGTGACACACACCAACACACTCCTCGCTGGAAGAATCCAACACCAACTATTCTCCTCTGATCCGACCAGCTGACCGTGGGGACAGCTGGATCCAGAACGAGCCCATTTAATGAAACGAGACAAACCCAGAGCCATGCTAAAACAGAATTAAAGCAAAACAGCAAACAGATGACTGATGCTGACAGGACTAGAACTATGAGGACCTGAAGATAAAAAAAACTTAATAAATAAATAAATCAGCTGTGATGAGAGCAGAAAACCAAAAGAAACCAGAACTAGAACTTTCAAACTGAGCCTGACGCCTGATGCAGATTCACAGATTTAAACTTCAAAACCAGACCGAGACAAAACCAACAACAGATAAACTCAAAGATCAGAACGTCAACTTTAGTATTTTTACATCAAACATCAAACAGTGTTCGGATCTGGTCCTTTTGGAGCAGGGGTGTCCAAACCTTTTCATACGTGGACCAAAACTATCGAGATGAAAAGACTCGTAACTCTCAACGTGAACAATATTTTTGGAGAAAGGACAAATTAACTAATTTTGGTGGAGAAAGTTTTAAATTGTTGTAGATCCAAAACATTAAAAGCCTCATAAACACTAAGCTTATATTTTTTATTAAAAACGGATTTGATTTATTTGATTTGTTGGGTCTATGTTTGTTGTTTTCTTGTGTTTGGAAAGTTCATTTTCGCCTGTTCTCGGCAACAAAAGCGTAATTTGAGTAAGTGTCCTTTTAAAAGGGGGTCCATCAGCCTCTTGGACCATGGACGGCCCAAAAGACTGAAGTTCTGAAAAATCATCCAGCTGTCAGTCGCTGCAACAGATTCATAGACGGTTTGATAAAGTGGATCATCTCGTATGTAGATGATGTCACGTTATATTCGTTTAAAAATGTCTTGACTATTTTATCAACTGCAAAGTTTTATGGATCATTAACCAAAAGTCTTCTTTCTGGTAGAAATCAGGTTTTTGGTGTTTTGTACCATGAAGTGAAAATAAAAAGATTACAGCCAAAGGTTTGTATTTTGTTTAATATTGCTCATTTTAAAAAAAGATTGTTTTTTATCTGTTTTGCTGTTGAACCTAAACATTATATAAAAAATAATTATCAACGAATATGCAGAAAGTCTGCATTGACCTCTTAAGCCTGCTGACCAAAACGATACCGTTTAACTGCAGTTGTGGACCGCACAAAATCACTCCAAGGGCCGCAAATGGCCCTCGGGCCACACTTTGGACGCTCGTGTTTTAGAGTTACTTTTGAGATTTTTGATGCTTTTGGTAAAATTTCAGTTCAGTACCTGCCCATTTTTAAAGAAATGTTTATATGTTCCCATATGAAGCTCAAATTCATTCATGCATCGAAGGAATACAAACTCAAGGGATGAGCCAGTTCTACAATGCAGAACAAAAAAACACTTCAGAATCCAGATTTTTAGAGTGACAAACGAGTCAAAAGCAGCTGAAGTCTGAAGAAAAACGTTAAACTCTGAAAACAGAACATCGTATAAAGGGATCAAGCGCTGACTGAACCTCTGCATCGCTCTGACACCACGAAGCACTGAAACACTGTGGTGAAGGTGAAATGAAGCAGATGTTTCATTCTGTGACCAAAGTGTTGCGTTGCTAACATCCAGTTTGGTGTCTGAAGCAGAAACATGAACAAGTTTAAATCCACTCAGACACACATGCACTCCTCATGCACACTGACCTTAGTCAGCCTCATCCTGCCGCTCTCACTCCTCTTCAGGGACGAGCTCCGGACCACCGCCACCGGCTGCACCTCTCCCTCCCCACACCAGTCCGAGCTCAGGACGCAACCCATATAGGTAGACGGGTGGGGGTGGAGGGGGTCCAGGACTGTTGGTCTGTGGGTCCTCCTCACCTCTGACTTCCCTCTGAGCGCGCTCCTGGGCAGCTGCTTTTGTCAGCTGGAGAGGCGGAGGCCCTTCCCCTCCTCCTGGCCCTCACTCAGCTCCCGTGGGGTGCAGAGGGGAAGGATACTCTCTCTGCCCTGCTCCTTTTGCAACAACACGCTCGTTAAAGCACCTCCTGCCCTGTCACATGCGGGCTCCTTGTTCTTCCTCCCCCCCGAAACCTCCCGTTGTCCTCTTACTTCACCTTCTGTCTCATCCCGTTTCCTCGTTCAAACACCAAATCTCAAGCTCCCCTTCTCTTCTCCACCTCTTTCCCCATCCCAGGAGCACGTCTCTCCCTTCTCTCTCTCTCTCTGCTCCTGCTTCTACCCCTCAGCCCCGGTTGCCTCACTCTTACATATACAATTACCTCTCTGTTCTCACCCCTCCACCCATCTCTCCTCCTCAGATCCCCCTCTGTTTCCTTCTCCCACAAGCAGGCCGACACTCCTCAGCCCCTGCAGTAACAGCACATTGTTGTGCAGAAAACAAGAAAAGCTACGAGTTGCTGTTAGGGATGCTGAGCAAACGGGTGACTCAGAGTGGACTGAGACTTGGACAAGGCGAGCCCTTGTTTACGCTGCAGAGGCCTCTTTAAGTTGGAACCCCCCCCCCCTGAATCCACACCTGGAAACAAAAAAAGATGTGTGTAATCCTGTAAGAAGCTCTGGTTCAAAGTCAAAAAGTTACTGTGTTTGTTTTTAATTTCAAGTTACTCACAGTTTTCTTCACGGGCTCTCTGCTGATGTTTGTTGAGTCTGTCTTTAGCGTTTTGGCTGCGACGCAAGAGCTCACGAGGCTTGGGAGAGTGAGACTGTACCCCTTAAAAGGCAAATTCTTGATGGTCCTCCAAAAGCTCCCCTCCTCCTCATAACTTTGTATTGCCTCTCACTTCTTTTCTCTTTTCATTTCGCTCACCGTCACTCCTGCGTTTCTTCCTTCTTGCTAAGAACTTGAACTTTGCTGTAACCCTTTCAGCTCTCTAAAACAAAGCTTCATTTGTGTGTGTGTGTGTGAAAAGTGCAGTTGCCTAATGTAAATCTGCATGCCTGTGTAGTATAAGATCAAATAAATAAAACGTGAAAATAAGTTAGTTGATGTTCATTACATACAGAAAAATAAAAGCTAAAGTACTAAGGACAGTTTTGTTGGCACCTTTAAAAGGACAGTTTAGTCTTCTTCTGTCAAATAGGTCTTAATTAATTAGTTTAATTAATTAATTAGTACATTACGAGTCATAAAACCTGTAGCAGAGCTATTCAACTAGTGGCCCGGGGGCCAAATCAGGCCCACAGGTGAACTCAGTTCAGCCCCTCAGTGGGTTCATATTTAAATTAAACTAGATTTTAAACCATAAAACAAATTTACTTAATGGCATTGACTGCTGGATGTCTGTCCTGGTCTATCGTTCAGAGAAAGAGCAAAAAGTTTATGTTCAGGCTAGGCTAATGGCTAGCTAAGAGTGCCAGTTGTTTTGAAATTGTTTTTCATTATGCTTTTTTTTTTTTTTTAAGAAACGCTCCTTTAGCTGGTTGATACAATCAGCACCGTCAGAGTAAACATGGTCCATCATTCCACTTTATTCCTCGCCCACACGCTGCCTTGTGTGAATTATGGGCACGACTTCCTGCACGGACCAGAACTGTCTTTTATTATGTGTGGACAGTACGAGCTGATGTAGTTTCTCTGAGCATTGTGGATTTAATTTAAACATGTAGGAACACCACCTGTCAGAGCTCCAACAGGACAATATGATCATAGCGCTGCCTGCTGCAGACGAGGGATGGAGGACGAGCTGAAGAAGTGGCTGCAGATTACATCTACTAGCATATTAAGCTACTTAACTGGCTCGGTTGCTTCCGACGGTGAAGCGATGAATAACCTGGAAAGCTCTGAGGTGTATTAGTATCTACAGTAATAAGGTCGGTGGTGTTTTGTTAAAAGAGGTGGGACACAATCTTATTTACCTTAAATCAGACACAGACCAGCCAAAGCTTTAAAGTCCTCCATCACTGAGCTTGAGTTGATTCCAGAGAAAATCATAATACAGAAGACGAACAAATACTATAATGTTGTGTCCTCCATACACTTGAAATCATACCTGATGTCCTCGTCACACTGTTTTCAATCCTTCTGAGGATCCGACGTTTCTTCTCCGGTGGTTTATTCTAGTCCAGACACAAAGTAGGATGCAGGTTTTCCTCATGGACCATTTGTCAACAAAGTGAAATGAGCTCACATACAGAGTTTTGGGTGAAGTTCACATTTTTCAGCCACATTCTTCTTAATTCCTCATCTGTAGGTAGGAGATGGAAACTATACCTCTTTTTTCACAGGAACACTCTTTTTGTTTTGGGTCTGTGTTCAAAACTCTGTTGTTGTAGCCACTGATTTAGTTTGGTCTGGTTGTTCTGCAGCCCTGAACACACCAGGTACCTGAACTCAGCACGGCTGTTTTAGTAAACTTCATGGTTGTTAAATTAATGTGAACAAAACAAAAACAGCGTTTTATCTGATAAACTGAATGAAAATGATCTAAAAAAGTTAAATCTGGTCCTCTCTAACTTTTTTAGATTTTTCTACCTGGATTATTGAGCATGCATCAGGATATGAATGAAAATTACTTTCAAATAAACCGCAGTTTGTGCTCCACTACCATGGTTAGCCAGTGCTTACTGGTACTTCCTGTCTGACAGGAAGCTGTACCCATAATCATTTACACAGTAGAGCCTCCAGGAACAAGGTGGATGCTGTTCATATTCAGATAGCAACACAGATGTTGTCCATACGCTTGAGAAAACTGCAACAAACATAAACTATCTAATGTAGCATTTTTTCCCTGCCAGAATGCACTTTCTGAGAAAGAGTTGTTAACTACACTTGAAAATTGATAAAAAGCTAGCATTCGTTTGGCTAGTCATTAGTCTAACTTGGACAAAGACATTTGTCTATTTCTTCATACTCCCTGCTCTATGACTGATGTTTGGTGATGATGACGACGATGAAGAGCTCAAAGACAAGAGATATCGATGTTAAAGGTAAAACAAGACTATCTTTAAGATGCTTTATCTTCCTCTGACCACATCTGCTAATTTTGTAAAAATGTATAACGTTCATGGGACTGTAGCTAACCTCCCACGACATGGACACAAGAAGAAATGCAACCCCTGGTTGATTGAGAAAGATAATGGTAAACCAAAGAAACCAAACAAAATTATTCAATTTAAACTCCAAGGTGCATCCGTTTCCAATCACACCGTCCATCGCATTTTGAATCATAATAGGCTTAATGGAAGAAGACCCAGGAGGCTCAGTGGTTGGCAGAAAAACACAAAAATCAGTCAGACATTCACCAGAATGCATATTTATAAGCCTGATGAGTCAAAAACTTTGGACAGTCACATCAGTTGTGTGTGTGCCCAGGCAAATGGTGAGGATTGTGTCAGGAAGGGCATCTGACATACAACACTTCTGCCAAAACTAATATACGAGTTCATTTAAGCAACACCATACCAGACCGGTCGAGGCCCGGGTTAACAACAACTGCCACCGGTGCTGTTGACAAACAGGGTGCTGACGAAAATTGTGCTACCGTTAGTCAAAGACCACAAGGAGGGAAACGTGTCAGGAGACAGAGGGAGAAGAGGAAAGTCAATGTAGGGCTGAGGGTTGCAACAAGGACAGGCAAAGGTAGAGAGCTGGCTGACATGATGCCGAGAAGGAAGGTAGTTATGTGTCCAAGAGACCAAGTGGAAGGGCAGCAAGGCTCGCAGCATTGGAGCAGGGTTCAAACTGTTTTACCATGGTGTGGACAGAAAGAGAAATGGAGTAGGGGTGGTCCTGAAGGAGGAGTTGGCAAAGAATGTAGTAGAGGTGAAATATTTATTATTATTATTATTATTATTGAAAGACACTAACAAATGTACCCACATCTGTACAGGTAACTTTGCTTTTTTCCCCACAGACAGTTATAATATTATTTGTTGCAACTTGATCCATTAGACATTGCATATTGTTTTGTACTATTGGTGTTTAACATATTTCTTAGTTTACATCTTAGATCCTTATTACTTTTCTTTTACAATTTATACTTTTGCTATTGTTGGATGGAACTGGGACCCTGTGTACACAATTTTGTTCCACCTCATGCACCACACATGTGATGCGAATGATAATAAAACCAAGTTGAACTTGAGACACCCTCCTGCTCCTGTCCAGTTGACCTCCCAGATTTGCTCCTCTTCACCCCCTCCTCTATATCAAGAATTTCTCAGGCAAGGTTTCAGACATGAGCTCAGGCTGCAGTGCAGACTGTTTACAGCAACCCCCCCTCCTGCTTTTACAGGCCATGAAATTAACTCCTTCTAATCACCTGCTAACATTGTTTGTTTTACATCTGGGAAATACAGAGAAAGCAAAGTTTACAGATTGGGCCAATTATCTGAAAATAATCTCAGTCCAAGTCCAAAAATCCAAATAGTTTCTGATTAAAAATGCCGTACATAAAAATACTCACAGGACAAATCTCTAACAACCTGTTCTAATGACAAAGAAACGTCTTTCAGTCTGGATCGGTGATTCAAATTAACAACAGATTTCTGGACGGGGCTTTAAAAGGGATGAAAAAAAAGGGGAGCAAAGGGATAAAAATGACTTGAGAATGTCAGCAAAGTCCAAATAAGGAGAGAGGGAAAGAGGAGCGAAACGAAAGTAGCACAGAAATAGATTCAGCTGATGTCACAAATGATGCTACTGAAAGGCATCTTCCACATCCTGTTTGTTGATGGCCTTCACCGGCATGTAGCAATATTTGTCAAAGTTGCTTGTTCACACGTCGACATTCCTCTCAGCTGTTTCCAAGCATTTGTATTGGTGCCGATCTTCGAAATCTCTGTGGACAGAAATGATCGTTTTCCCAAAGGAACCACATGATGGAAGGTTCAAACGTCACATCTTTGTCCGCTTAGCACAATTTTCCCTAAGGTGTTTGTTCTTTAGTCCTTCCCTCGATTTTATCTTCGAATGGTGCTCCTATTGAGTTCGTCGCTTCCTATAAATATTTGGGTGTCTTGGTCGACTCGCGTCTCTCTTTTAAGCTCCACGTCGAAAACTTGGTAAAGAAATTAAAAGTTAAACTGGGTTTATTTTTCAGAAACAGATCCTGTCTAACTCTGAATGCTATAAAACGCCTTGTAACTGTGGCTTTCCTTCCCTCCATTGATT